TTCGAGAACTGCATGTGGAGTCGCGTATCATGCCGCTCAACACACCAACGGAGACACTCCGCAGCGACCCTTTTGTAAAAGGCATTATAATCAGTGGCGGACCGAGCTCTATACACGATGCAGACGCTCCTGCATTTAATCCGGATCTGTTTGAGGTTGGCAAACCTCTGCTTGGTATATGCTACGGCATGCAGTTGCTTACACGAGCCTTTGGTGGAAGTGTGGGACAGGCAGCATTGCGGGAGGACGGACAGGATGAGATATCTGTGGATACCGCATCCAAGCTTTTCGATGGTCTTCGTCCAACCGAAAGGGTACTTCTTACGCATGGCGACTCCATAATTGAATCGGGGCCGCACCTTGACGTTATTGCGCGCAGCAGTGCCAGCATTATTGCTGCTGTGCAGCACCGGGAACTTCCATTGTTTGGTGTACAATTCCACCCGGAAGTGGAGCTCACGGAAAATGGTATGCATATCTTCAAGAATTTCCTGACGCTGTGTGGATGTCGCTTCACCTTTACTATGGAGGATCGTGAGGTGGTGGCGCTGCGTATGATCAGAGAGCGTACCGCAAGTGGGCAAAAAGTTTTGTGTCTCGCCTCTGGCGGAGTTGACAGTACGGTGTGTGCGGTGCTACTGCTCAAAGCTCTTGGACCCGATCGTGTTGTGTGTGTCCACATTGACCACGGCTTCATGCGGCTCCGCGAGAGCGAGGAGGTAGTGGCGGCGTTGAAGGCAGCAGGTGTGCCTGTGACTCTCGTTGATGCCAGAGAGCAGTTCGCACAAGCAACGACGGAGATGCCCGAAAAACGCTCGCGTGCTGCCTACACAACTGGAAAGCTGTCTGAGGTTGTAGACCCTGAAGAGAAACGTGTGATCATAGGCAATACCTTTATGTCTGTGTGTGACGCTGTCATCAAGGACCTTAAGCTTGATGTGAAGAATCTTCTGCTTGCACAAGGTACTCTGCGCCCGGATCTCATCGAATCCGGGTCGGCGTACGCTAGTAAGACCGCTGACGCCATTAAGACGCATCACAACGACACTGCTGTGGTTCGTCAACTGCGTGAAGCAGGACGCATCATTGAGCCTCTTTGCGATTACCACAAGGATGAGGTGCGTGAACTGGGAGCCCGTCTTGGCATTCCGTCACACCTTGTTCAGCGACAACCTTTCCCAGGACCTGGTCTGGCCATCCGCACGCTCTGCAGCAACGGTACGCCATTCAGGGACGACTTTTATGAGTCCACAGAGCAGGCAGTTAAGGCCGTATGCACAGGCGATGAAGCCGTTGACGTGGTGCGACCACTGAGTGAGGAACTCAAGGGCCTACAAGTGGCTTCCTGCGTGTTACCCATTCGCACCGTGGGGGTGCAAGGCGACAGCAGAACGTACGCCTACGCAGTGGCCCTATCTACTGAAGGGTTCCCGACAGAAGCGGAGTGGAAGCAGCTAAAAAGTTTGGCGCTTGCCATCCCAAAGGTCGCACATCATGTCAACCGTGTTGTGTTCATGTTTGGACCCAAGCGAGCTGATCCCCCGCGCACTGTGACCAAAACAACGCTCCTCCCATCCGTGTTGGACAAGCTCCGCGTCGCCGACGATATAGTTAACCGTACCCTGATAAAACACAACCTTGTGCGGCGTCTCAGTCAAGTCCCTGTTGTGTTGGTGCCCATCGGGTTCGAAGAGAAGGGCCAATACAGTGTTGTGGTGCGCACGTTTGTTACAAACGACTTCATGACAGGCGTTCCCGCGGTTCCTGGCTCTCCGATGATGCCGCTGGTCGCCTTGGAGGAGATGGTGGCGTCACTGCAAAAGTTGGAGTTTGTGTCACGTGTGCTGTACGATCTCACCGCTAAGCCACCTGGGACGACGGAGTGGGAGTAAAGTAATGCAAAGTAGAAGGATTTCTTCTTTTTTTTTGGAGGGGGGGGGGCGGTTGAATTCACATGATTCGTGAGGTGGCCACGACTTTTTCTAAAACTATAACACACGAGGTCGGAAAAGAAAAGAGTTAAAGTTGAACTCCAACATTGTTAGGCCTGAATTTTTTGTGGTGTGGGGAGGCTGAGGCCGTAATGCATGTTTACGATCTATTCAACACCTCTGCTGTTGTGTCTTTATGATGCTTTGGGATTCTGTTTTTGTTTTGTTTTCATTGATGTGGGTTGTGTCTCACTAAATCCGTGTAGTTATCAGCTAAGTGCACATCGATACTCGTATTTTCTTCGTCAGAAGAGCGATGACTTGCGTAATGGACACACTCACCCCTCTCGGAGTGGTCGATGACCAAGGTATAATTGCTGCAAAACAGGCCATTGAGCTGCCTCTGCCGAAAATTTCCACAAGCAGAAATGTCTTCACAGTGAGCCACGCCTCTGCCCACCCGGACGCCGCTTCTGCTACGGCCTTCCTCGACAAACACGCGCCACAGCTTCGAGATGATATGGATTGCCAACGCATCGCCATTCAGAACCATAACCTCGCTAAACTGCGTGAATTCGTTGAGAAGAGCGAGATGAAGAGCACGGTTGGCGAGAAGGAGAGAGTTGTTGCGTTGAAGTGTCTGGTTCGAAGAGCGGCGGAAAACGATATTCAATACGCACATAAATGTAACTATCCTCTTGTTGTTGTCCAGTTCATGCGCCGTACATGGCAGGTTCTTCTCCGGCAGGTCCAAGAACACTTGAGTGAGGCCCATTCAGAAGACTCTCAAGATGCCGTACCGCTGCTCGAGCAGCGCCATCGAGAGGCAATAGAGAACATATCAGCCTTGGGCCTATGGTTCGTTGGAGACATGTCAATTCCTTTTCGCCGTTACTCACTCCAAATGACTGCTGCCGACGGCACACTTCAGAACGTCATTGCGGTCGGGTTGGTGTCGTTTTCTTACTCCTCATACGTCATGGACTCCCGCCGACGCGCACAGGAAGCTACCCTCGCAGAACTAGAAAGACTTTCAAAGCGCCTCGGCGTGAAACTGCACTTCTTGCCGTCTTTGGTTTTGCCGGAGGAGGCCAAGGCAGTACCTCTATAAATCTACTGTCGCTCGTTGCACGTCAGAAAATGAAAACGGCAGCCGTATGGACAGAGTGGGAAACGTGAAAATCATATATATATATATATATATNAAAAAAAAAAAACGAAAAAAGGTCTCAAGATATGCTATTGTACAGAATTTCTTTCATTCTGTTCTTGTTTTTGTTTTACTTTTTATTTGTAAATTCTGGTGAGTCGATTTAAAAACTGCTTCCCCACTACGTTTCACTAACGGGGCTTTTTTCCTTAGCTGCGAAGGGTTAAGTTATATATACATATCTATCTATCTATCTAACTCCATATATATATTTATATATATGGAGAAAGATATCTATGTACTGAGGTGATCCACGTGAGTAAATGAACGAAGATATTTCTGCTTGTGTGGGGGTGCCTATATAGTGAAATGGGAGCAAACGAGGCATCACCCTGCTTTTTTGACATCGATTCACCCTCCGATGTAATTCTCAGGAGATGTCTCGGAGAACACTCAGACGCTGCTGTGTTTTTTTTTTTTGNTTTTTTTTTTTCGTTTGCTCTCTTGCCTTGCTTTATCACTGCTGCTGTTTTGCATCCCGCCCCCACTTTGTCGCTGCCACGTGGGCCGCGCGGCTCGCATTGCGCGGCGCAGGACCGCGCACAATTTTCTTTTTTTTTGGCTCTGAGGGGTGAGCGAACGTAAGCGCGTGAAATATATGAGAATAATGCAAAACAAAACAGAAAAAAAAAGGGCGCAAACAAAGAGGAGGAAGAAAAAAAAAAAGGGAGATGTAAGAGTAAATGCGCGAGATACAAATCGCCATGTGGACGTTATAAGCGTCTCAAGGGAGGATTGCCTCCCGGATTTGTCTGGGGTAGGAGCTGCATCCATGTGCTCAGCACGCGTCACACATACCGTACGGTGTCTGTCTATATCTTGAGTTTGCNGGGGTAGGAGCTGCATCCATGTGCTCAGCACGCGTCACACATACCGTACGGTGTCTGTCTATATCTTGAGTTTGCATTCTTTTCGCTTGCGTTTTTTTTGTTTTTTTGTTTTGGTGTTTTTTTGTTTTTGTTTTTCCACCGCTGTTATGATTCTGTCTTGTTTATTCCCCTCAGCCGTCCCCCTACGAAGATGCATGATAATTGGCGAGAGAGCGAATGGCAAGTGGTGTTTTCTTTGTTTTTCTTTGCGTTTGGATTGTGATTCCCATTTCTGACGTCCTTGCCTTGCTCTTTGTTTTTTTTTTTT